GTCTGAGGTTGTTTCAGGAATAGATTCATTAGAAAGAAATACAAGTAGTTGTTTTAATAGAACTCATAGGGAAAATAATTGCAGACATAATGAGAATAGGTGGCATTTCCCAAAAAGTTTAGTTCATTTTTAAGACTGAGTGATTTATGAATTACAGCAGTATTTTCATCTAAAAGATGGTAACAGTAATATACAGAATGCCTTCACATGAAACATATTTATATTACTTTAATAGCATACAATGAGGTTTGTGCATCCTTCTCCTTGTATCATTTTGATAGTGCATAATTTTCTCAAATTCATGTGTAGGTAGACAGAATAAATTAAAATTACCAGTTCTGGAGTAAATTCTCTCTCCCAAAACCAGTTAATCAGATATTCCAGGACACTAGTTACAGTTGCCTTTCAAAGATGGGGAAAAAAAGAACAAGACATTTAAAAGAGTTGTTGTATAAAAACAGCTATTGCACACATTTGATGCTACAGTGTAATTAGATTAGAAGACTTGAACAAGTGACTCCACTTTGCATAGTGACATAACATTTATTTCACTTCTACAGTGCATCTAGACAGGGCATTTATCACACACACAATAGGAAATGTTGTAACAGCAGTTTCTAGAAGGGACTGAGATTAAATAGTGAGAAGAGTAAAATGCCCAAAGTGGGACAGAAAGCTGAAATAATTAGAGATCTGGGAAAATGTCCATATTAGTCTGAATAAATTTGGATTACTCAGTACTGAGAGATTAAGGCAAAAAAAATCAGGTGCCTTGTCTCATTATACAAGAAAACAAGGGCACAGGCAATCACATTTAAAGGAAAATATTTAAGTTGATAAAAGAAAATCAATTGCACACAACAAACAAGTTAGTGTGTGTAACTCTAAGTTAGCTGTATTTGGAAATATTAACAGGAGTAAAGGTGCACCGATATATCAGTCTGATATCGGATCAGCACTGATATAAAGAAAATTGATTGCATCGGAAATCGGCCTGATGTGGCTGATCATTTGGCCGATAAATGCTCACACGTGCGCAGCTGCAATGCAGCATGTAGGCAGCGAAGAGCACAGCCCGGCACCTTGGAGAGTTGTGTGCCCCTGTTAAGTCTGTTGTGGTGGAAGGGGAGCATGGAGGGAAGGAGCATGGGGGGCAGATCAACGCCCCTTGTGGGGAGGGAGGGGCTGGGACAGACGCTGCTGGGGTGGGGCAGGTTGTAGGACTGAGCTGCAGCTTGTCCAGAAGACATGGGGTGGGAAGGGCAGCTCCTGCTGCTGTGTGCACCCCGGGAGGGTAGGTGCCTCAGATCTGCATGGGAAGGATGCGTTTTTGGGAATGCGGGTTTCAAGCCGGTGATGGGACAAATGTGCAGATATAAAAGTTACAAAAAATATAGGTCACTATATGTTCCTATGCCTTTTAGGTATGTTTCTATGCTTTCCAAAGCCAATGCTCTGGGGGGAAAAAAAGGATATATCATCCCACCCTTCACAACCTCCCTTGCTTATCTCCTACTGTACTACTAGGATTAGGGCTACATGAGCCCTCTCCCACACCAGCAACACCACAGGTTCAAG